GGAACACTGTCCAGTAAGGAGCACTGTCCAGTACTCCTCCCAGTGTCTGCAAGAAGGCCGGGTATTCTACACTGCTATTCGGCCCGTAGGCCGAAAAAACAGTGAGGCACCTGTCCCTGACCCGAAGGCGCAGGGAAGCGACCCTCTCGCTCAGTGGGGAGAACTCCAACACACGACTGGCAACCTGGGGAGCTATAAGTAAGCCTACACCAGCACGCCGTCTCTCACCGCGGGCAACTCCAGAGTAGAAAAGAGTCCAGATTCTCTCAAGGAGTTGGGTCCCAATAGTTCACAGCGAAAGATTAGTTCCCAGAGAATGATTCGTTCACAGCGAAAGATTAGTTCACACAGAGTGATTCGTTTGCAATGAACGATTAGTTCACAGCGAAAGAGTAATTCGCAGTGAGTGATTTGTGAGTTCAATATGAACAAATATTTAATATGACTCGGTAGTCACGAGTCATATGAAAGATCCGTTCATTTTGAACGAATCACTCGCGAACGACACATCTCTACTGCACTCATCTCTATACTTTAATTTGTTTACAGTAAATGTGAATTTCTTAGACACAGGAAGGGGGCTCCGTCCATTTGTATAAAAGAAACGCTCTTTGCAGGACAAATATGTTCCTGTGTATATGTTTGTGTTGGTGTCAGTGTCATTGAAAGAGGAATGCTGATGGATTGTATTTAATCTTATTTCACTATTCATCCAACAAAATCACCTGGTAATAAACCAATGAACCATCCAAGAGAAATAAGCTCTTTTCGGTTCTTACAATTGTAAATCTGACTCCAGAGAAGTTAGTGTCTCACCAGCCATGAACCTCACCGCACGTCACTGATATACGTAATAAATAAACTTGTGTAACTTTCTCAATAAAAGGAGCTGCAGTCCTCATACACTTTGGGACTTAGGTGAGCCAGCTCTGCGAAGCTGTTGGCCTCTCTGCTCCCCCTCGCAGCGAGTAAGACTCACAAGTCAGGTGTGGTTCTTTCCAGGTCATTCTATCTGTGGCAGTTAGATGACAATAGTGGTGACTGAATAACGTAATTTTCGGCACCAACATTATACTACTACTATTAATAATAAAATGATAAATGGATTATTTAAATTTTACATTACAAAACTCTTTATAATAATAATAATAATAATTAAATGATGAATTGATTATTTAAATGTAACTTTACTACACTTTTTCTTATGGATAAATTCAGTTGTTTGTAAATGGATGTGAATATCAAAATTCCAGGTTTGTGATTTGTGAGTTTGTTGATTTTCACAGACATAACACAAGACCACCATCAACAATCAGACAGCAATAATCATACTTTTATTAAACAACTTCATTGGCTGCAGGGACGTAAAGTACAAACATTTTAAATTCCTGTACAACAAATATTAGAAAAAATTACAAATATTCAAAACCCCAGCTTTAAAAAAAGGATACATTAAAAGAAATAATTTCTACATGTCTTCAGTTCACATTCACATTGGGAGTAAATTATATTTACACTAAACAATAATAATTAAAAACTTTTCTTTTTTTTTTTAATGGCTAAAATGTGACCAGTTCCTCCGGCTCGTCCGTCTGTACGGTGTCTTCTTGTTGTGCACTGGTGTCCACGCTTTCAGAATCTTCATATTCATCTGCAAAAAGTAGTTTTTAGAACAGTTTTTTTTTACTTTCACCATGTAATTATTTTACTAGCATTTTTTTTTCAAAGAAACCATCAATAAATGTAAATCCTACTGGAGGGGATCCGGTGTATCTGGACGAGCGTTGTATGGTTGCCGTTAGGTAATGGAGGCAACCGAGGAACAGTGTCATGAAAGATCTGCTCGTCGTCAGATTCTACCAGATCCAGAACGTCACCTGTGTCTTCCATTTGCCTGTAGAGCAGGAGCAGAATTATGACATCATTAATCGCTGGCTGGACAGGAAACAAAGCAATGTCTTTGTTGTAAATACCTGAGAGTCTTTGCTTCTGCTACATACCTTTCAAATATTTATGGTGAGTGTATTTATGGGAGTGTTTAGACGATGACTTTGTCTGGATTCCACAAATCCCAAAGATACTTTCAGAATACATGACATCCTGGCTACATGTGCAATTGAACCATGTGAAGTTGAAGGTTTCGTGTGGAGTTTTTGGCCACTAGGAGTGCTATAAAATAATTACTCTTTTGTTATTGCCTGACTTTTCCATTGTCTGTGTCCCCCAAGAAATAATGCTTATACTTATGCTAAAGCTATTAAAAATAGCATTTCTTAGTGAAAACAAAGACATGGCATTTAAAGATAGAGGCCCAAGCTCTGGCCCGGGGGCCACTTCCTGGCCTGCACTCTGTACACACTCTGTATCTGGCCCTCAACTGGATGTCAATAATTTAACAATTGAAGCTGGAGGTCAAACACAGTTTTTTTGTCTGGTCAGAAACTATTGATTTTATTCATTGGTTCATTAAACATTTTAATATGTAATTTTAGAATGAAAAAAAAAAGTAATAAACCAAACCTACATTGTCAGAAACATTTGTGGAAGCAGTGGCAGTTTCAGACTCCTGATTCAAAGGATTATTATGGTGCGTTTTTGTTTAATACTGTGGAGGAGCCAGAGGAAGACAGTCGGTCCAGGTTTTTGTTGTTTTTGTTTTGTGCTAGCAGCAAGCGCTAAATACGTTTTTTTTTTAGGTGAGTCTGATGAAGGCGTTAGTTTTATTAAGGTCATCTGAACTTTTTTAAAGTTACAATATTAATTGCGATTCAGGTCAGTTGTTAAAGCCACAGGTGTATATTGTATTTTCCTGCATTTTAGCCAACTATATGAATAAAGGTGATTATAGATCTATATTATTTTTACAGCACATAAATAGTATTAGTTGAAATTTAATTTATCATTGAATAAATGCTAAATATATCTAATATATATCTACTTTATAAAATAATTATTAAATATTATTTATTTATTTATTCCCTTTAATTTATTGTTTCAATCAAACATGTTTTTTTATATAAGTACATATTAAATACTCACCCAAAGCCGCCACCTGAAAGACATGAGCATAAATGGTAAAGTCAGACTCAGAGTCCATTTGTACGGTTCACTGTTTGTGTGAGTGCAGATGAAGCAGTAACACGTGACTGTCCTGCAGACACCTCTGCTCCTCTCTGCTCCGCTCATTACCTAAGCAGATCCTGTGTCTGTTATTGTACACCGTTTTGGCGATGATGATGGTCGACCCCACGATCAGAGCGGCTATAAAGACGCCGATGATGACCCCTGTGTAGGTGGAGGAGGCTGCGGAAGAGAGACGACAGGAGAAGGACAGCCAACGTGTTAAGAGGTGGAGGACAGGGAGGAGCAGCAGGTTTATCAGCATTCCAAAGGAGGAGCCCACACCTGCAGCGACTAGCTTTGAGTCTTAGACTCGTCTCTGTTTCACTGGTGCACGACTTAACGTTCACACCGACGTCCATTGGTCGTCGAACTGTACGTTTGTTCACATCCTCTAAATCAGTGGTTCTCAAACTTTTTCTACTCTGTATCACCTGAGAAAACCTTGATCTCTCTGAGTACCACCATGATGACTAACATTAGAATATAGCAGCGTAGGCCTTCACTGTTAGCTTCCACCACAGGAGAGATGTTTTGAAATGTTTAGAAAGATGTTTTTGTTTAAATGTTGTATTAATTGTACATGTATATGGTATTTTTCAAATTTATTCAATGGAAAATGTAAATGTGAAAATATGAATTTTCCCCACGTGCCACTAGAGAGTATTCGCGTACCACCGGTGGTACGCGAATACCACAGTTTGAGAACCACTACTTTAAATACATGAAAATCTGACCTGTTTATTTGTGGATACTCTGCAGAAATCTTTATCTGAAAATGAGGACTTTAATTTGAATTTCTTTAAAAAATTATTGAAAAATTATTATTGTGTTTATTTATATATAATGAATATATTTTGTAATTACTTAACTTCATTGTATTTTTTAAATTTTTTAAATTTATTTACAATGATTTTTTTTTAAGATAATTGAACAAAAACTATTTTTAAAAATAGTATATAAATTGTATGGTGTAATTGTTGCTAAATCAGAAACCAAGAGTAAAATTGGATTTTATCTTAAAACTGAATTACAAAAAAATAATAACTGCAAGTGTTAAATAATACATTTTTCCACTGCAATATTACTAAAGTTTTATCTTTAAAGCAGTTACACGTGGACTATGAAAATAAAGTTGTTTATGTTTCAAATATATGGCATATATATTTTGGAATAACAAGCTTCTGACAAATGACTCTTAGTAGTTAGAAACTTACATTAAATTAAATGAACTTTTAAGACATTTATTGTCCTAATTTTTCTATATTTTTGTATTTTTACATCATCAACATTAGCATTATTATTTTGTTTAAATAGGGATTTAATGACAGCATGTCCATCTTAAATGTTCAGCCAATCAGCAAGAGGATTTTTCATCATTCTGATGAATCAAATTGTCATTTTTATGTATTTTTTTTTTATGTTTACAATGAGTTTCCCAGAGCAAAGTGTGTAAAAATTAAGTGAGAACTTTGTTCCCGTTGTCACCACTCACTTTTCACAGTCAGGTAGACTTCCAGCTCAGTGACGTTGAGGGGGTTCTCACTGCGGCAGAAGTAGAATCCTTCGTCCTCCTTGCTGACGTTGACGATGGTCAGTGTGAGAACAGGCCCCTCTTCAGACAGGATGTACTTTGGTCCAGGAATGATGACCTCCTGCTGCAGGCCTTTTCTCCAGGTGGTGCTGGCTGGAGGCACAGAGATGTTCTCGGAGCAGGTCAGAGTGATGCTGTCCCGCTCCACTGCTGTGGCTATGGGCTCCCCTTCTGGGAACGGGGGCTCTGGGAAAACAGGGAAACTTTTTTATTTTATTCTGATCAGAGAAATTAAACCTTTTTTTGTGTTAATCTGGAGAAATATGGTTATTGATTTTCCTACTTTTGGTAGACACTGTCACCTTAATTCTGCTTTTTAATTATTTTCACCTATTTGGTTCATTCTTTGTCCTTTCTGTTGCTACAACTTCAATTTTTACAGGGTTGGAATAATATGGTACTTTAATCTAATCCAATTGAATATAATCTATTAAAACTCTATTCTACTGTAATCCAATGTAATCTACTCTAATCTACTCCACTGTAATCCAAAGTAATCTACTCTAATCTAATCCACTGTATTCTAATCTACTCTGCTGTAATCTAATCTAATCTAATCCATTCTATTCCAATCTACACTATTGTAATCCAATGCAATTTACTCTAATCTGATCCACTGGACTCCAATCTACTCTACTGTAATCCAATGTAATATACTGTAATCTAATCCACTGGACTCTAATCTACTCCACTGTAATCTACTCTAATCTAATCCAACGGACTCCAATCTACTCCACTGTAATCCACTCTAATCTAATCCACTATACTCTAATCTACTCCACTATAATCCAATGTAACCTACTCTAATCTAATCCACTGGACTCCAATCTACTCCACTGTAATCCAATGTAATCTACTCTAATCTAATCCACTATACTTTAATCTACTCCACTGTAATCCAATGTAATCTAATCCAACGGACTCCAATCTAATCTACTGTAATCCAATGTAATCTACTCTAATCTAATCCACTGGACGCCAATCTACTGCAATGTAATCAAATGTAATCTACTCTAATCGAATTCACTATACTCTACACCAGGGGTGTCAAACTCATTTTCACCGGGGGCCACATCAGCAATACAGTTCCCCTTGAAGGGCCGGTTATAAATGGAAAACTGTACCAGTCCATAGGTCATTTGGTACCGGGCCGCAGTGGGACACAATTAAAAAATGTACTTAATTTTTACTAATTTACTTCATTAAGAAAAAGTCATATCCAAAGATATTTTTAAAGATAAAAATAATTTAATTTTAAATTAATAAGTCATTAGAACTCTGATACTATCAGAATAAAAGATGTTTTATTTTGAAAATTTAATGCTTTGTACCTTACTACTGGTCTGTACTAACGGGTGGTACTAGCTAACTAGTCCTTGGAACAAAAAGGATTGTGGACCACTGGTATAGAAGTAACTACTCCATAACAGACTAATACATGTTTCTGCAATTGATTATTATTTGATTGATTATAAAAACTTTTAATTTCTCAGGTTAAGAAACTCTGCTGCATGGACTTGCTTTTTAAGCACCCGCGGGCCACACAAAACGGCTTGGCGGGCCGCATTTGGCCCCCGGGCCTTGAGTTTGACACGTATGCTCTACACTATTGTAGTCCAATGTAATCTGCTCTAATCTAATCCACTGTATTTTAATCTACTCTACTGTAATCTACTCTAATCTAATCCACTGGACTCAAATCTACTCTACTGTAATCCAATGTAATCTACTCTAATCTAATCCACTGGACGCCAATCTACTGCAATGTAATCAAATGTAATCTACTCTAATCGAATTCACTATACTCTACACCAGGGGTGTCAAACTCATTTTCACCGGGGGCCACATCAGCAATACAGTTCCCCTTGAAGGGCCGGTTATAAATGGAAAACTGTACCAGTCCATAGGTCATTTGGTACCGGGCCGCAGTGGGACACAATTAAAAAATGTACTTAATTTTTACTAATTTACTTCATTAAGAAAAAGTCATATCCAAAGATATTTTTAAAGATAAAAATAATTTAATTTTAAATTAATAAGTCATTAGAACTCTGATACTATCAGAATAAAAGATGTTTTATTTTGAAAATTTAATGCTTTGTACCTTACTACTGGTCTGTACTAACGGGTGGTACTAGCTAACTAGTCCTTGGAACAAAAAGGATTGTGGACCACTGGTATAGAAGTAACTACTCCATAACAGACTAATACATGTTTCTGCAATTGATTATTATTTGATTGATTATAAAAACTTTTAATTTCTCAGGTTAAGAAACTCTGCTGCATGGACTTGCTTTTTAAGCACCCGCGGGCCACACAAAACGGCTTGGCGGGCCGCATTTGGCCCCCGGGCCTTGAGTTTGACACGTATGCTCTACACTATTGTAGTCCAATGTAATCTGCTCTAATCTAATCCACTGTATTTTAATCTACTCTACTGTAATCTACTCTAATCTAATCCACTGGACTCAAATCTACTCTACTGTAATCCAATGTAATCTACTCTAATCTGATCCACTGTATTTTAATCTACTCTACTGTAATCTACTCTAATTTAATCCACTGGACTCTAATCTACTCCACTGTAATCTACTCTAATCTAATCTCCTCTAATCCGTTCTACTCTATAATCTAATCGCTCTTTTTTCATTGTACTTACTCCCACACTCTAAATATCAAGCTGAGATTCCTGCGCTCCACTGCACCACATCAGGGACAGTTACCTCACCGTCAGCATCAGTGATTAAAACAACACCTTCATCACTCAGACCATGTGACCACAGTGAGCCTCTGTGGCTCTGCAGCCTCCACACACATGAAGAATTCAGCAGCAGCAGCAGCAGCAGCAGCAGCATTCCCTGGACTTACTGAGAGTGAATGAACAGGAGTTCTCATGTCCTGGCACCCGGGCCAAGTGCTGACCTATGCAGGTCAGCGTTTGACCGTCTGAAAGCAGGGTGCGGTTCAAAATCATGGAGAGACGGTCCGTCTCCTCGGTGGCGTACAGGTGTCCTTCGTGCCACTGCTGCTGGTCATGGTTTTCTCCCCAGCGCAGTGTTGGTGTGGGATAGGCTCCAAACCAGGTGCAGTTGAAGTAGATGTGGGAGGGGTCCTGCGCCGGTGTCCACATACACTCAGGGTGTCTGTCCGGGGCATCTGGTCAGGGCAGAGGTTGACGGTTAGACACTAGTGCCAGCATCATGTCTTATCAAAGGTCTTTGTCTTTGTCTAATATCTGTAAGTGTATTTATTAGCACTTTCAAATGATTAAAAATGTTATTGTGATTAGTTACAGGGTGGCTATGGATTAATCACGATTAATTGTAATAGTTTATTATTGTAATTAATCGTGATTATTCACGATTAATTTGTTACTGTATATAATATATACTGTATATACAAATATATATATTAGGAATTTCCGATATTATCGGCCCGATATTAGTATATTACTAATAATAAATTAGTAATATATTAATATCTGTAAGAATCGTCATCTGTTTTTCCTCCAATAATAAAAAAACGATAACGCAATGCCTGGGTTTCAAATGACGTGTGCCCTAATATTAGTTTTAGGAATAAACGGCTGTTAAAGTCTGTAACGGCTGTAAGTGAAAGTCACTAGATGGCAGCATTGCAGCTTGTTTAATTAATCTCATACTCTGTGCTTTGTACAGAAAAATAAATAAATATTACCAGGCCTATATCGGTATTGGTTGATATCGGAATCGGAAATTAAGTGTTTCGACAATAGCGGCGTATCGGATATCGTAATAAAAGTATTTCTAATGTAGTGAGGGAGATTTTGGTGACTCACAGTAGACCAGCAGCTCCGTGCTCTTTTTCACCGTCTGATTGGAGACGGTGTTGTGGGCGGTGCAGCTGTAGACTCCCTGAGCACCTGGTTGGACGTTTTCTATCCTGTACTCCAGCCAGGGTCCCAGCCCTGTGAGCAGCGTGTCGTTGGGCGGCGATGCGCCACTGAAACCCCAGGTCAGATGCTGAGACGGGTAAGAGGAGGCGGAGCAGTTGAAGGAGACGGTGGAACCCCGGAACACAATGAGCGTCCCATTGGACAGTGGGGTGGCAGTTGTGATGGACAGAGAGACATTTTCTGGACCACCTGAAAGAAGACGGTACAGGTGGTCAATCTGTCTTTGTATATATTGAAGTCCAATCACCACATTAGCCACATACTGACTATTACATAAATATGGATAATGTTCAAAAAAATTTATGAAGTACTCTGAAGGTACTGACTCTTAATTAAATACCTGTTTGTACACTACTTATACAGTACCGTTGGATTTAATGTCCTAAATAAGTGGGCTCAAACTTCTGGCCCGGGGGCCACTTCCAGCCCCATGATTAGATGTCAATAACCATTAAATTTTGTTGTAGAGGTTTTTTCCCCCATTTATTTAGTGTTGAAAAAAGTGTACCACTGTAGTATTATACAGTATTTACACTAAACGAAAAAGTATTTTCTTCTGAAATATCAGTTTCTTGGTACTGAGCATCAAAAACTGTCGTCCTCTGAATAAAAAGAGTACCAGAACCCTGTCCTGCATGGTGTGTTTTGCAAAGAGATTGAACTGTTGATCTGTTGGTTGCCAAGTGACACACCCTCCACACTGAGACACAGCTGCATGTTTTGATGAGGAGGTGACAGGAAGTTCAATTTCCATAATCTTGTCATTTATAAAAAACAAAAAACTCACAGTTATTTTCTTTTCTAAATGAAAGACTCAATGACTCAAAATAGCACATTCAATGTCCCTTTCAAAAATGCACCTCACCAGCTCAAAACCTCAATTCAAATATTGTTTGCATATTCTGCACATAATCTGCTACGTAGTAAAAAACAAAATACTTTTTTAAAACTTTTTTTTTATGTGAAAAGCAGGTGCTTTCAAACCTTGGCCGTGCAATCTTAGAATACCAGCACAATACTAGATTTCACATTGATAAAAGTGACCCAACCCTGCTTGTTTCTATGGGCTGGTCTATCCTGAAATACCAGTTGGTGTTCACTTAAAAACATCCAGTAAGGAATAGTGAGAGATCCCAACTTTTAGCCACAGATTTTTCACTCAGTTATGCAGAAATACCTGTTGGTCGTGAACACAAAATACCTCACAATCAGGTGGTAAACAATGGATGAGAACCAAAATATTACTGTGTAAAAGATACAGACAGAATTTATCATAAACAAACAAACATCTGCATCCCCCCATTTTATAAAAAATCTTTAAAAAAAATATGTTTTTAAGGGTCTTATTTCAAATCCTATTTCACAGAGGCTGTGAACTATATGTTTTCTTTTAAAACGCAATTAATGTGCTCAGCGGCCCAAATATAACCTTCTGGGGGACCGCCACTGGTCCGCGGGCCCTATGTTTGACAACATCAACCCAAAGCCAGACTGTCGTTGCACTGGTTGCATGTGTGTGTGCGTGTGTGCACTGATTATCCACTGTGTTCACTCACTGGTCACTTGAAGCTGCACCCGTCCGTGGTAGATATTGTTCCCAGGTAGGAGGATGGTGCACAGGTAGATTCCCTCGTCCCCGCGCACCACCTGGGTGATGTTGAGACGACCGTCCTGCAGCACCGCGAGCCTCTGAGTCCCGGCCGAGGGGCTCGGTGTGGAGTCTCCACCGCCTCGAACTATCTCCCGTCCATCTTTTATCCAAGTAGTTAAGGACGGTGTTACATTACCAGCGGTGTAACACGGAAGTAGAGCAACGTCGCCAGGCTGCGCTGTCACCGCCGTCTCGGTGTCCTCGTCTCCTGAAACTGTCGGAGAGAAAAGACACGGAGAAAAGTGTAAAAGTCTGTGTTTTCACTCTCTCCCGCTTACTTGCTCGAGTGTAACGACAATACGACGCTCACCTGTGGCACAGAAGGAGAGAACGAGCAGCGCGGCGGCAGCGAGAGTCTTCATGGTAACTCCTCTACATCACCTCCACGGTGAGTGAAAAGAAAGGCAGCGAGAACCAGTCGGACTAGTGGGCTCCACCTGTCAGAGTCTGCGTGTGACACACTCCAGTCCCGTCCTACCGTGTCACAGAATAACACAGGAGACGGCGAGTGGAGCTGACCACTCTGACACCTGGTGACGTCACCGACGTACCTCTGTCCGACCGCTCGAACTCTTGTTTACGAGAACAGACGGATCCGGAAAGGGTAGCAACAACAACAAAACCACACCTTGAAGTCACTTTTCT